AGAACACCAAGCCAAAGAACCAAACGTAACCCCCAAACTTACTTCATAGTACCAACGAGACAGAGGCAAGTTGTGCGTGATGGCCAACCAGTTCCGGTGCACTTCAAAGTCTGTGGAATGACTACAGAAGGTTTGGCTTAAGAGACACATTTACACTTAAAGGCGAAACACTTCAGAATACAGCAGTAAAACCAAGCCTGAACAGTCACACAGAACCTGTACCAAAGACACATGCATGTAACTGCAGGGCAGGATGACTCGTAGCTCAGGCTTTTCTTTCAATTAATGCTAACGTCCTGGGGTTTTAGTGGCTTCTTTTAAAGCAAATGTAATATTTTTGAGGGAAAAATCTGTTTTTTTTTTTTTTTTTTAACTGAAAAGCATAACAGTTTTAGCATACTTCAAGACCCTGAAAAGCAGCCAGAAGGAACGGGCTGTAAGCACCTTCAGACCCAAAAGCAAAGCCCTTTTATACGTGCAAGAGGACGAGGAGACGGCAGCACAACAGCTCAGCAACCAAAGCCCTGAGAGAAACGAGGACCGCCCCTCCCACACACACCGCCCCATCCCCACCCATGGGAAAAGCTGAGGCCGTTCCGCTGCTCCCCAGCCCCGAGCAGATCCTTACTACGTGGGGATGAGGAGGCACTTGAGGAAGGAGACGCCGAGCGCCAAGGCGCGGAACCAGCTCCAGCCACCCGCCGCCATTACGCGCCTCACAGACGCCCCGCGCATGCGCAGTACCAACGACGCAGCCCGCCCGCACGGTTTGAAGCGCGCAGCCCCGCCTCGGCGCTGAGTGCGCATGCGCAGTAGCGACGTCACGCCGGCGCCTGCCTCTGATGCGGCGTTGCGCCGGAGCTGTGTATCATAGAATCATAGAATCACTAAGGTTGGAAAAGACCTAAAAGATCACCCAGTCCAACCGTTCACCTATTCCCAATAGCTCCTACTAAACCATGTCCCTCAACGCAACATCCAGTCTTTCCTTGAACACCCCCAGGGTCGGTGATTCCACCACCTCCCTGGGCAGTGTGAGGTGGTAGGAGGCGGCTGTGAGCTGTGAGAGCTCCGTGTTGTTTGGCGTGGTCACCACCAAGGAATGAGGCTAAGTTCTGGTTCTACGCAGTACCATCCGAACCCGATATGTAACAGCAATGTCCAGACGCTGCCCTGAGGGTGCAGTGCCCTGGGCAGGCTGTTCCATGGCCACCGTCCTCTGAATCACAGAATGGCCAGGGTTGGAAGGGACCTCAAGCATCATCAAGCTACAATCCCCTGCCACACGCAGGGCCACCAACCTCTCAGTTTAATACCAGACCAGGCTGCCCAGGGCCCCATCCAGTCTGGCCTTGAACACTTCTATGGATGGGGCATCTGCAGTCTCTCTGGGCAGCTGTCCCAGCACCTCACCACTCTTATAGTAAAGAACTTTGGGGCACAGCCTTTTCCTCACAGTGACAGGACAGGGGGGAATGGCTTTAAACTAAAGGAGAGAAAGGATAGGAAAATCTGTACTCAGAGATCGTTGAGGCCCTGGCACTGCTGACCAGAGAACTGTGGGTGCCCCATTCCTGGAGGTGCTTAAGGCCAGGCTGGATGGCATGAGCTGGTGGGTGGAAGCCAGCACATGGCACGTTGGAACTGGATAATCTTTAAGGTCCCTTCCAACCTAAGCCATTCGGTTATTCTATGATTCCCTGGGCTGAAAAAACCAAGGGAACTCAGCAGCTCCTCATGCATCCTGCTCCATTGAATTTGAGAGGGACATTGAATGTTGTGTCAGATTTGTGCTAGGTGTTATGAGGTCAGGTATGGCATTGGATGGTGTGGAGCTTGGCACGGGGTTGACTCTTGTGGCTTTCCTCTTGCAGCCTTTCAGTACCTAAAGGGAGCCTACAAACAGGAGGGAAATCAACTCTTTGAAAGGGGTAGATAGCAGCAGGACAAAGGGAAATGGTTTGAAGTTGAGGGAGGGAAGATTTAGGTTGGATGTCAGAATTTCTTCACAGAGAGAATGGTGAGGTGCTGGAACAGCTGCCCAGAGAGGTTGTGGTGCCCCGTCCCTGGAGGTGTTCAAGGCCAGGTTGGATGGGGCCCTGGGCAGCTTGGTCTGGTATTAAATGGGGAGGTTGGTGGCCCTGCATGTGGCAGCGGGGTTGGAGATTCATGATCCTTGAGGTCCCTCCCAACTCTGGCCATTCTGTGATTCTGTGGCTCCAGCAGTGATGTTGGGTGGTGGTAGACCTGACTGATGTGAGGTTGGGTGGTGTGGGAGCAGCAGTGATTTGGGTGGCGTTGGGCCTGGGGGATGTAATGTTGTGTGATGAGGCCACAGTGGGGCTGTGCGAATGTATGAGGATTTGTTCAAAAATGCATTTTTTGAATCTCTGCATTGTAGACATTTGAAGACGAGTGGCATTAAGAATGGCTTGGATTATTGAAGAAGTACGTTGATCTGGTCTATTCTACATCAGCTCTCATATTTTTTGTGAGCTTCCTGTGATTCTCAGTCATAGAGGCTTCTTGGTAAGCATTGCATTGACAAACTGTTAAAAGTCTTAAGAGTAAAAAATGCAGATTCAGCAGATGTTGCTGCATGAAAATGTATGTCAGGCAGACCATCTACTGCTTCATTCACATTTTATTTATTGTCTTCTAAAACATATATTATTAACAGTTCCCAGAAGAGCTACAGGCAGAGAAATGCAACCAGATATTAAAATGTGATATCCCATGGGTTGTCTGTGAAAATGGTAAGAAACAAAACCCATCTTCTGATGCCTTTCTAAAACCATTCATTCAAAAGTTTGGCTTTTTAGTGATTCAAGAACCAAGTTCTGTTCAACAGAGAAATCCAACAGCTAGGAGTGGGAATAATAAGAACATAAGAGGAGGGAGAGTGGCAAGAGGAGGAAAAGAAAAGAAATTATGCATTCATATAGCTCCTTTTTCTTTTTTTTTTCCCATTTTTTTCTGAATCCATAGGAAAACCATCCCTCTTATTATCCTGAGTGAATTTGAGAGCATGATCTGCACATTTATGCTGGATCCAGCTCTTATCACATGGAATACCTACATCACCTCAGATACTAACTCACACATAAGACTTCTAATGGGAGGGTCCCATTACCAGTGCTTGTTTCCTGTTTCTGGCCAGCATGTGGTTTCTATCCAGTGTGTGGATAAGGGAACTGTTACAGAATGGCTACCAACCAGGACAGTTAAATATTTCCAAAAACACTGCAATTCTGAGATACCAAGTTCAAGTTCAGTGGTATGGGATGAAAATGAAATTCTCACATAAAGTACTCTTCATAACTTCTCCATTTATCTGTAAAGTGTCAGAAGGTCATAGATTTATTTTACACAGTTCCTGGCAAGGGCTGAAGGCAGTATTTATTACTCCATTGAACATTACATACAGACTCCTCCAGCCTTTTCTTTTCTAGAATGGGAATCTGTCTGATTGACTGCAGAGATTTACTAAGTGAGCTCAAGCAGAAACTTATATTCAGCAACCAAGTTGAAATGTGGGCAACACATCTAGAGTTTCTATGCTCTCCTTCTAAATCCTGAATTTCTTGTTAACTTAGGAATTCTTCCAAATCTAACTTTCTGCACCAATTTCTTTTATTCCCCTACCATCACCCGTAGGAACAAACATTCATCTCACAGTCTTCTAATGATTCTTAACAACAGCAGCATTCATCAGCCATTTCAGTCTTTAGGCGTGGTTTCAGTCCCTTCATTATTATTAGATATTAGTAGACAGGTTAGAGATATCAAGCCAAAAAACCCGTGAGTGATTCTGTCTGGATTCCACTAAGATACTTTAGAATATTCTTTCTGTCATCTAAGAAATCCCACTGTGCCATGTACATGCCCATGTCTGTAACTGCCATTACATTCGAGCCAGTAACTTATTTATTGTCTGCCCTAAGTCTGGTGTTTTTCTGCTCTGAAAACAATTGATCTCTCTATCCAGTGGTTCTGCCAGCATTTAGGCCATTAAAATAAAATAATGAAGTGCAGGTCAGCCTCATTTTGTAGATGGAGGTCAGACACAGGCTGATAGCAGAATCAGAACAGGAGATAGGATCTGAGATGTGGAAAAAAACTCACTTCAATCTAGACAGGAAAAAAAGCTTGCTAGATTCTTTCCTTGTTTTAAGGCGCTTACTGGAAAAAATCAGAAGTCTGTTCCAAGAGAAAGTATTCCACTCCAACAGTGAAATGATTTGTAGTTGTTACTGCTAATACGTTTCGAGTGCTTTTCATGACTAAGCGATGGGGTTGTGATGTACCCTAAGCACACAAAATGGCTTTGTGCATGTTCACTCTTCTTTAAGCCAGGACAGCTTGAGAACAAGAATCATCAGTGCTGTTGACTGGTGACAGAAAAGCAAGTTACCTCCAGGGCTTTGAAACAGAAGGTAAACAAAAGCTTGCTATCTAGATAACAGGCAAAGAAATGCTTTAGAGAGAGAGCATTCCTATAAACAGTCATTACAGCATAACTCACAGAGTGCAGAATTAGGGTACAGCTATAAATTTCGCTTAGCATGTTGTCTGAAGTAGCAGCTGTATTTATATAACATATGTTTGATTGCTATCCCAGCTGATTCACTTACCACTTATTTCACTCAGTAGCACGCAGAACTGCTGTGGTACTATACATAGTATCTCATTCTCAAAGACATTTATTCTCCTCAACAAAAAGAAGTATTTGAAGCTCTTCTATTCCTCCCAAGGCCTGTTTTCATTGGTGTCTTTACACTGGCTGGAAATTCTGCATCTCTCTGCATATTAATAAATGACAGAGATTTGTAGTCAGTAATACCTTTGCCTACTTTAGTGACCTGAGCACAGACAAACGTGGATTCAAGTGGTCCATTGTTTGTGTAATAAGCTGATGGGTTCAAGAATTCTGGAACAGACTTCCTCCCCTTTTAAGCCCACTGCTCTTGCCCCTGGATAAACTCAAGCTAAGAGCAAACTAATTATTACAGATTATTATTCATTTAGTCCTGACATTCAAAAACTGCTGTTACAAATCATTTAAAAAATACTCTCAAAGGCTTGAGTTAAAAAAAAAATATTACCATTGACATCTCCCCAAAGCTTTTATCATAAGTTCAGCAGAGGCATATCTGTTTGAAGGCATAGATTTGATGAAAGAGAGTTCACGAATGGTATTTTACAGATCATAATAATAGCATCTGCATAGATGATAACTATGAATGTCCAACTGACTGGCAATCTCTCAGCAGAAACAGGATTCACATCTGTGTTGCTCTGCTTTGTCAATGGCACGCTGCATCTTCTGGAGTATGTTACTCCTGCTTCATAATTCAGGACAGGAACAGGAAAAAGAGAGTTCTTCCTAATGCAACTGAAGGCAGAAAAGTTGAAAGTTGAAATTTGGCCACAGCATTCTGCTTCTAATCCTCAAAATTCACAAGAAGTGGCGAGGCTTAATGGTTCTTTGGACTTCAGTCCCAGTCAGTACGGCCTAACAACATGGTCTCATTTCCACCATCATGCTGGTGAGTCTTGCACCGAGGCAGACAGGGAAAGAGATTTATAACAGGCTGCCAGTAGCTACAGAGTGAATGAACACTTTTACCATCAGCATGCTGATTTGTGTTATTCATGCAATACAGCTTGGGACAGTGGGAATATATTTATCTCACAGTTTTTTTAGAACAATATTAATGAGGTTTTTTTTGCTCCTCATGGATCAGCTTAACGTAAGAACAGCCTAGCTGCTCCGGGAAAAGAAAGAACAAGACCAATATTGAGCTTTGTACCTCTGTGCTAAGAAGCAATAAAATTATAAACACTAAAGTTGGTTATTGCAGTTTCCCTTGTATCTCACGTGAGGGAATGGGAAAAGTTCTGGAGGGTCTCTCATGCATGCATAGAGATCTGACTAGGGAAAGACAGCTAAGATACTCTTAAAAATAGTCAGCTGAAGAATGAACCACCTTGAACGTGGCAAAAGTGGCATCTAGAGCTAACATGCAGCTAGGGGACTGTGATCTTCATCATAGCAAGGATCAGGCTTTTAGGAAAGGGCTTGACCACTGTCATCACCCTTTGTTTCCCACTGCCTTATCTCTCTGACAACTGGACACTAAAGCCAAGCAAGAAGGTAAAATGGTGCCTTTAGCAGTCTGACATTTCACAGTGGTATAAAAAAATGGCTCAGTGTATAGAGGTAGAAAAACTGAGCCTCTAGTTTTGTAATTAAAAGTAGTAGAGACGATGATGGAAAAGTAGTCCTTTCAGATGGAATCCATCCTACCCAAAAGCCATCCCATAAGCTCCAGACACTGCTGAAGGGAGACCTCCCAAGGGAAGGTCATGTCCAGTCAGAAGAAACCCAACCATTCAGATGATATTTGGGGACGTCTTCCCTCTAAAGCTGTCATCACCTCAGAGAGTGTTTCTGGGAGCATCCTCGAGACAAATACAGCATTGTAAGAGAAAGAAAAGGAATAGTTGTCTTGGATGCCTTCGGAATGAAAATGTCAAGGTGTAAGAGCATCCAAAGCAAGGTTCTCCAACAGACACAATCTTGTCAGTTTGTAAAGACATCTTTCTCTCTGTTACGGCTTTCTTGGTTGTTCCCAGAGTCAGTCACATCATTCAACCATGGCTTCCCTGAAAGCAGAACACAGCAGTGGTTTCCTCACACAGTTCAGGAAAAAAAAACTAAGTCATCTTCAGATGGCGACAGAACAGACAGGATCCTCTACTCACTGGCAATGTGCACCTTCCTTTACATCTAGATTCAACGTGTCCATGTGGAAAGGCGGCTTCTCCACGAATTGAAACAAGCTTCTTGGGTCCTCTGCTCAGGTTACATGGCAAAGACAAGGAAAACGTGCCTTTCTGAACTGTCTTCTGCTGCACTGTGACTCTGTGGCTTCCTTCTGTACAGCTGATCTCACTATGTCTCCGGGCTTCCTTCGCCACATCTGATCTCCAGACACTTTCCAAACCCTGATAACTGAGCATTCCCTACATTACAGGTTAAGGATCATTCCCATTTTTCATCTGGAAAATGTAGTAAGAAGATAAGTGATTTTCCCCACATTTGTATGGCAGGTTAGAGGTGGAGGCTGAGACAGAACCAATCCTTAATTCAGGTGCTAGACAATATTCCTTCTATTTAGAATATAGACATATTCTGAAAGACTGTATTGGTAAATACATTAAAGGAAAATCATCTCCCTGTTAGTGACTCTTAATCCAGGTAAGCATGATTCTGAATTAGGCTGTAAGTGTGTGTTTTAAAGGGAAACACTTAACCTGTGTTATCTCCATGATGGCATCGTAAGAAAAAAACATTCCTACTTGTATCGAATTAGGCGAATAATCTTATTATTCATGAAATCTGAAGTATGTGGATGAGAAGAATCTATGCAGAAACCATCACTGACAGCTATTTTTAGCATTTCTTCCACAAATACCTGGAAACTATTGATTTGCTTATTATCTGGCACCACCCAGAGTCTCTTTAAGTTCTGCTTCGTGTACTCCTCTTCGGGAAGACCTTCCACACTTGCAACCCAATCTAAGGTCAAATGGTTGGGGTCCTGCAGGTAGCTGGATATTGAAGAGAGGTTTCCGTTGAAGCAATAATAAAGTTTGGAACCAAGAAGCTTCAGGAACAAACACGAAGTGGAGAAGATATGAGCACTGAACACTTCCATGTTGGAGGAAGACAGGCTGTAAATCTGGGGTGCTTCTCGAACGGTGAAGTGAACAGTCTGGGTCTTCTGATCGAGGCTGATGTTGAGCATGGCATTCTTCTCTGCTTTAGAAAGCTCCACCTCCTTCTCCTGCAAGGCTTCAATCAGAGGCTGAATTTGATAGAAATCTGCCTCCCGTCGAAGTAAACCCATTTCCTGAAAGTCTTCGGGGAGATCCAAGTGAGAAGTTCTCAAGAAGTTCAGGATATAGCGGAAGATTTTTCCATCTCTGTCAATAAAGCAGTTGCCTTGGCTGTCCTTCTTGGTTGGCATCTTCCCACTAAACATGGCCCCCAGCATGGAGTCTGGAAAGCTAGTCAAGGTGGACAGAGAGGTGGTATAAAGTTTTCCTCCAACATTGAGCGTGATGGGTTCTGACATGATGGAAAAGTCACGATGCTGCGACTAAGGCTAAAAAAAAATAATAAAAAAATAAAAAACATCCAACATGGTTGAAAAGATTAAACTACAGGGAAAAAAGGTTTCGGTATATATATGGGTAACTACATGGCAATAATTTATCTTTGAAAATAGAAGTGGGGGAACATTTTTGGAGGCTGTGTCGTGAGAATAAGCATCTCTTCTCCTAATAGTTTTTATCAGGGCTTTGTTTCATTCAGTTTACTGCCAGAAATCATGAGTTTTCTGTAGCTTTACAGTCGTGCTAAATGTGAAATCCCTCCCACAGGTGCCTACAGCAGAAAACGACTGATTTCCAGAGTTGTATCCTGGACTCAACCATTCCCATCTCCCTCGTGACAATGGAGAAAATAAGGGCAGGATAAGAACCAGACACATCCCAACATCTTCCATGGCATCTCAAGATTTAATTAAAGCAACAAATTGTTGCAGCAGAATCCCCAAACACACACTGGTGTGCAATCATCTTACCAAGGAGCCAGCGAGCTCCCTGGTTCTTTGCAGTTCTATTCAGTAAAAAATAAACACACCAAGCTTTCTCCTTCCAATGTGCTTTACCTTAGAAAACACCTCTTAATTAATTTGGACTGCATCCTTAGTTGATGTAGCTTCTGTGCAGCTCCTCTGCAGTCAGCTGAGACAAACTGAGGATGTGTTTTTATGATGCAGTTAAGCATCACTGCTTCTGGAAACAACACACCTCCCTTTGCCCTCCACCATACTTCCCTTATCTCTTAAATCATCTCTGGCACTTATCTGACCCAACACTGAACCCGTTCAGAGAGCAATCTCACTCATTTTCTATTCAGAATACACTTCTGTTACATCTTGGAACCAGATGAATACCAGGACTGATGCAAAGGAAGAGGAGGGAGGCACTTTTCTACTGCAAGCCAGCTTAGCTGTACTGAGAAGCTGTGCTCTCATTCCTGTTAGCTGAAGACCTGCAAATGCAGCTGTTCCATTTCACATGTTTCTCCTTGCTCACTGAATCCAAACCCATCAACAGTTCCTTCCCAGTTTTACTGTTGACAATTGACTAAAAACAACAGGAAGCCCATCAGTGCTTGCTTGCAGAGATATGAGTTAGCTCCTGCCTTATTAGCTATGGTCATTTCACAGAAAGCAGCCCAACAGCTCTCTTAAAATGAAGTTTACATGCAGGCATTTTCCTAACTGGTTATAGATTAATCATAGACAGGATAAGACTATTATCAGTTCAACAGTCACAGCAGAATACAGACTGGAAGAACATCATCTTGTGCTGTGATATTGATTCCTTTACGGCTGCTAAAACCTGAGTAATGGTGGTAACGGCCAGAACAACTGCACCTTCAGACAGCAAACCCATTTTGCTATGAAAAACTCATCCACACTAAATCAGCTAATGAACGAGTCAAAGGAGAATCTTTATTTCACTTCTACTTTAACATTCCCCTCTCTTCTTTAGCCTGTGTTAGTCCTTAGCACACTGTGTGTATGTCAGTGCATAGTGATTAAGGGAAATAATCAACTCCCTAAATCCTTTGTGTGCTTTGCCTGTGTGAGTCTTAACCCCTTGTAACCAGTACAATTGACAAAGGTGCACACGTAGACCAACACAGCACCCCCTCCACCTCAGACCAAAGACCATCCTTGTTACTAAGCTGAGCCAAAAATACTGTGGAAAAAAACCTCGTTGCAGTGTTGAACTCCCTACGGCACTCTGTTCTCAGCACACTTCCCATTCTTGAAGGCTTCTACCCAATGTAGAGTCAAGAGCTGTTTAAACAGGTCATATGTAGGCTTCAGTGGATCTTATTCTGTGGTACAAGTGGCAAGTGTTTCCCCTAAGAACTTGCAATGTACCTGTGAAAGTGCAAACACAGTATGACACAAGAAACAGCCCCACGTGGATTTCTTTGCAAGTTTCACACAAGAACAGAAGCGTCGCCCTGCAGATAATGCAAGCTGTAGAAGCAGTACTGACAGTGACCCCAAAGGCCACGCTCATTTCTTCTTTCCTCTGCTGTTTCAGACTCAGTGACCCATTTTTTTTTCTTTCCATTCTTTCTTCACAGATCATATTTTCAGATTACTGAGCCTAAGCCTGCTTAGCTGCGCCACAGGAGTTTTCTCCGGCTCTCTGCCACCTGCAGGCAGATGTTCCCCTCCTTTGGATGCCACCTGAAGGCCACTGGATGGCCCAGAAGTTCAGTGGTCAGATGCAGACTTTCATTTCAAACTCAATACGCTCTAAAGTTTATTCTGATCCAAAAATATGAACATAGGTGGCCACAACCTGCAGTCACTGGTGGAAGTACAAAATGGGTTATGGTTCTTGGAAGCAGAGAGTTACAGTAAAGACCTCTGTGTAGCTGCTCCCAAAGCAGAACCTGAAGTCCGTTTCAGATTAGATCACTTTGAGATTTAATCTGAGATTTAAAGACGTGAATTTGGCCAATAGCACTGGTATTATGTGCTGTTAGAGTGATTTGTGTTCCAGTACATCTGAACACCAAGTTACATCTGTATTCAAATGTATTTGGATACAAATCACTCTGAAAGCACATAATATAACACCAGATTGCAGCTCTGAAACAGTGTGGGAAATGACAAAATCCATTCATTTTCACTTACTGACATATGCTGATATATATAAAGTCAAGTCATTATTTAACGTGAGCCTTTCTGTTGCTTACCAGATCAAAATTGTTAATTTTGGTCACTCCCATTAAAAACAATCTACCCCAAAACAACAATTTGATGGAACGTGGAAGAGATTGCATGTCCATTTCTGTTTAAGAGCCTCACTGAAGATTTGAAGAAAGCTGTCTCTGCATTAACAAAATGAAGATAACACTCATTTAGCCAAAACTGTAATTACTGGCAGGGCAGAGAAAAGATACAAAAGATACTAAATAGAAAACAAAATGAAGTTTTTATTTGGGAGAACGTGCAGCAAAGCCTTGATTTCCTTGAGAAGTAAACCTAAGCACAAGTATTTATTGGGAGTGAGGAAGGAAAAGCAGCAGCAGTTGGTCACGGGTACAGTGTCCCCTTCAATACCCAACATCTAAAACATCCTTTCAGACCAAAACTTTGGAAACTCATCTTTAAGACAGTGAAACATGCAGCTTAGTTAAGAAAGAGCTGCGGAGTAACAGCAAGCGGCAAAGCACACGTACAGCAAAACCAGGAGATGAATTATTCAGGTGGGCACAAGGAAGAGAGCCTAAATGGCAAGAACATTCAAGCATGACAGGGACTATTTCTGCTAAGCATCAGGAAGAGGAGCCAGACTAAAAACCTCGCTGTTTCTGAGCATTGCCCAGGAGAGCTGCTGAGAGCCGTGGTGTCTGGATAAATGTCAGCGGATCTGGCCAGGTCATGCGCTGCAGGAAGCGATTTTGCATTGTGAGCAGCCCGACTGATTTCAGCTAAAAAAGGAGGGATGGGGAAAAAAGTATCCAAGCACCTGTGTGGTTGTGAGAGACGGTAGGTAGAGTCTGATCAGAGAAGATGGTTGTTCCCAGCACTGGGCCCCACTGCTTTGTTAGAGTGCATTAATGTCACATAGATAATCAGCCACAGGCAGTGCTCCGTCGGTGCTGGGCTCTGTTCCCAGCTCCCTACAACTGCTTTGCTCCAGCACATCTGACTACAGCAGAGCATTTTGGTTTGAGGTAAAAAAAATCTCAATTTCCACAAAACGCCCTGGTAAAAATTATCATTAAGCTGCAAAATCTGGGTCTGGGCACAGATGGAGGCAGCAGTGTCATAGCACTCGCTATGGCCGTATCTGGAGAGCCATTTTCTTCCCAGCCCCTTCTCAAAGGGATGGTTCTGCAGAGAAAAAAAGACCACCAGCTGGAAATTTGTGTTATGGGCACAAAGGTAGCTTGATGTCTAGAAGTCATGATAGGAGAAAAAAAAAAACAACATAAGAACAGCATACGGAGGGTGGAAATAAAATAGAAAGTATTTAGAAAAGAAAAATTGAATTAAGAACCTCAGTTCAGTGCTTCCATAGTGAGAGTCAGTGGGCAGGCATCACGTGAGAGCTGGATCTAAAGAAGGATGTGGGACAAACCATGTTGTGACAAGATGCTTAACCCTCCCTTAGTGTACCACTGATGCACTCTCACCAATCCCAGCTGATCCTCAGCTCTCTGCAGTGTGGACTCTACACACTTTGTGCTTCTTTATAGCAATCCTATAGAGGAAAACCCCATGTTTTCCCACGGCTCCAAGATGGAAGTCTATCCCACCTCATTGTGGACACTTGGCTGAGGCATCACAGTGCTCTGTCAGCGAGCTGCAGGAGAGGACTCCAACTCCCAGCAGGCACAGGGCAGGAAATGCCAGCTCACCCCTCCTTACAGGAAGCATCCCTATCGATCTGCTGCCTGTGGCAGTGCCAGGCAACAGTGACTTGGATTTTATTGTCTAACCGTGCTGTATTAGCATTGAAATACTCTGCCAACGAGATGAAAAGGGAAGCATGAATGTCAGCTTTCTAACATCCCTGGCTTGCTCTGAGTGATGCGTGGGGACCTCCCTGATGCTCTGAGCATCTCCTGGCAGATGCTTCAGGCTGGTACTGCTGGCAAAGAGTTGCAGGTGAATGCAAACAGATGTGGCCCTCTAGGTTTAAGCAGTGAACAGTCTGGGACAAAGAGAAGGAGGTAGGGAGATGGAAATATGGCTGATGGGCAAACAGTGCGGGGAAGAAAATATAAAATAAAGGTCAGGCTCATACTGAGATATGAGGAATGACAGTATTCACAGGTGTTGGGGAGAAAGAAGAAATGAAGGTAACAGCTGCTGAAGGAGGACCTAGAGGACAAGACAGAGGGGAACACAGAGTGAAGAGCCAGAGGATAAAAGCTGAAATGAGGCACTCATGATACCAAAACCCACAAGCTGTGCTGACAAGCAGATAGCCAGCAGGGAGGGAGCCTGTTCCCAGGTCATGCCAGCCCTGTAAAGCTTTGCACTGATTTCTAATATCCCATTTAAATGTCCACATCACTTGCCAAACCTGCACTGCTGCCCAAAGAGCCGTGGGTGCCCCATCCCTGGAGGTGCCCAAGGCCAGGCTGCATGAGGCCCTGGGCAGCCTGAACTGGTGACAGAACCAGAGAAATACCCCAAATCATCGGCAAGCAGCACGACATACTAAAATAATAATAATATATAATCCTAACAGTACCAGTAACGATGTCATTGTTAATAACTAGGTTAGTCCGATTTACACAAAACCTGAACATCCCAAAGCCTTTCTCCCGCTACCCCGTGCCTCACTTCCCCCTCTCTGGGCGGGGACGGGTTGACCCCAGCCCTTCCCCGCCGCTCCCCCCGCCCCGCAGCCCCGCAGCCCCGCACCCACCTGCGGTCCCGGAGCCCCGCGCCCCGTCCCCGCCCGGACCCGCAGGAGGCGGAGGAGGAAGCGGGGGCGCGGCGAACGCAGGATCCCGGTGCGGCCAGCGCTGGGAGTTGTAGTTCCTTTCTCTTCGCCCTGCCCCCGGAGCTGCCCGCGGGGCTGCGGCTTTCTGCCCGCCCGGAGCGATAGGGGAAGGACCGGGCACGGCTCCGGAGTGAGGTAAAGAAGGGTAGGAGGGGATGGAGGGGTTGGGGTGTGCGGGATGATGAGAGGGAAGGGATGCGCGGGGTGCTCCGGGGAAGGGATGCAGGAGGAGTGCTCGGTGATTGGGATGTTGGATGGTGTTTGGGGTCGGGATGCTCATAGGGAAGGATGCCTCAGGGGTCAGGATGCGGGAGGGGGGTTCGGGGTTCAGGCTTCTCAGAGAGAAGGATGCTTGGGGGTTGGGATGCTCACAGCTTCAAGGCACAAGATGCTCGAATGGGATTGGAATGCTTGGGGAGTGGGATGCTCAGAAAGCGTTGCTGTGGGGAGGGATACAGGAGGGATGTTCAGAGGGAAGGAATACAGGAGGAGAGTTTTGGGGGATCAGGATGCAGGATTGGTGTATGGGGGTCGGGGTGCTCAGAGAGGGATGCTCCAGGGAAGGGATGCAGGAGGGATCCTCAAGAGTCTGGATACAGGAATGATGTTCAGGGCTCGAGCTGCTCAAAGGTAAGGATACTTGAAGGAGGGATGGTCAGGGGCTGAAATGCTGGGGAACTGGGTTGCTCAAGAGTTGCCTGGGAGAAGGGATACTTAGAGAGGGATGCAGGAGGGATGCTTGGGATGTGAGACAGTTGTCTGGTGGTCGGGCTGCTCAGAGAGAGGGATGTTTGAAAGTTGGCATGCTTGGGGCTTCAGGATACAGGAAGGATACTTGAAAGAGGGATGCTCAGGGGCTGGGAAGCTAAGAGGGAGGGATATTTTAGGATGTTTCAAAGAAAGGGATGCAAGAGGGAGGGATGCAGTAGGGGTGTTCAGGAGTCAAGATGCTCAGAAATAGGTATGCTCATGTGAGAGAATACTTGGGGGTCTAGCTGCAAAGGTGTTATTTGCAGGTTAGGCTACTCAGAGGGAAGGATGCTTGGGGGTCAGGATGCTCAGTGTATCAGGATATAGGGATGATAGACTAAGGAAGGATGTTCAGAGGTCAGCATGCTTAGAGAGAGGGATATTTGCAATCAGGATGCTGGAGGAGTGTTCAGGGCTTGGGATGCAGGAGGGATGCTCCAAAGAGGGATGCCCAGTGGGAAAGATGCTTGGAGTTCAGAATGCAGGAGTTTGTTCAGGAGTTGGTATGCCCAGGGCTTCAGATGCAGGAAGAGAGAGGGTTGTTTGGGGGTTGGGTTGCTCAGCAGGAGGATGTTCAGGGGGCAGAACACAGGAGGAGTGCTCAAAGGAGGGATGCTCAGGGCTCAGGATGCAGGAGAAATTGATGTCTAAAATGAGGGACATATTCCTTATTTCCTGAAGGCAGTGCCAGAAAGATTGGAGGTCGGTGTATCTCCGAGTAGCTAGGCAGTGTTTGATGATTCTCAGCCAGTGTTGGTAGCTGTTGGTCTGGTATGCTTTAGTGAAGAGGACATGTCTTTTGTTTGGGCTACTTCCAGGGTATCTGTTTCCATACGCAGAAATGCAGACAAAAATGTGATGAAAGAAGAGTGATGTTTATGCTATAAATACCTCAAAAAAAAAAAACCCAACAAGCCTCCGGAGTGAATGTGTTTACAGTCTCTGGGGATGATAATAGGAAGGACACCGGGCTGAAGGTCAGTGAGGGATCTGGGTGCTTCTGTATGCAGAGCTGTGCCCTGGCTGAGAGCTCTGGCTAGAGAGGAAAGCAGAAGTCTTTGGTGGCAAGAAAAAAGAGATATGTTCATCAGGGGGACATGAACAGGAGAGACAGAACAGGGGAAACTTTGCCTAATGCAGGCAGGACAAAGCTTTTCAGCATATGTTGTCCAATATATTCAGAAAATTGAAAAGCAGCTAGTGTGAGTTATTTTTTTGTCTGTGATGGGTGCTGGCTTAGCCATAAATCCAGTGACTCGTCAGTGGTGGTCCAAGTCCTGCTTTCTATGCCTTTGCTGCTGTTTTTTGATGCCATGGGATAGAGAAATGTAATTCCTTGTGCCTCGTTTCCTGCAGTCACCCCGGGGGATGAAGGCTGATGACATGCATTTTGAGATGCTTTATCGGAAAAGGATGCTGGCATCTATTAGAGATGTGTGTGTGTCTGTTGTCTTGAGGGGAGGAATGGAGCTGGGAGGAGTCTGGAGACAGAGAGGATAAAATGTCAGGGCCTTCGGCTTTATTTGGCATTACTGCACTGATCACTTTGACATTGAGCCAAAGCCTTTTTTTAATCTGACTACTGAGTGCCTCACAGCAGGAAACATAAAGCAAGAGGAGAGACCTGGGAGTCTGTATGCATCACAGGGACTGAAGGAGCAGCATGGGAGAAATAAGGGGTGGGGTGGCTGAGACAGCGGCTCCCAGGGAGGGCAGCCAGGCCAGCAGTGGTGTCCATCCATTAAGGCCAAGGTGAGTCAGCTACAGAAGGCTGAGAGAATCATATACTGTGGTCATAAGTATGTAAGAGTGTTTTAGAGGAAAAAAAAAAAGGATAAAGAACTGTATTGCATCAGAAAGGAAAGTGGTCTGCAGATTTAGAATCACAAAATCACAGACTGGTTTGAGTTGGAAGGGATCTTAAAGCCCACCCAGTTCCAACCCCTTGCCAGAGCAGGGACATCTCCCACCAGCACAGGCTGCCCAGGGCCCCATCCAGCCTGAGCACTGCAACAAATGGGGCACCCACAGTAATCTGGGAACCCACACAGTCTGTGCCTGTGCCTCACTGCCCTCTGAGCAAAGAATTTCCTCCTAACATCCAACGTAAATCTTTTTGTTTAAGATTCTTCCTTACTCTATCACTAAAATCTTTGATAAAGCACCTCACTATCTTTCATGAAGACCCTCTTTAGGTACTGCAAGGCCACCGCAAGTTCTTCCTGGAGCCTTCTCTTCCCTAGAGTAAAAGATTCCAGCTCTCCCAACCTGTCACTGCAGGAGAAGCAGCAGATTTTGGTAAAGGTATGGGCAACTATTTGGTAATGTACACAGATGCACTTAGATAGAATCATAGAAAGTCCTGAGTTGGAACGGACCCACAAGGATCACAGAATCACAGAATGGCCAGGGTTGGAATCTCCAATCCCCCCACCACATGCAGGGTTACCAACTTCCACATTTAATACCAGACCAGGCTGCCCAGGGTCCCATCCAATCTGGCCTCGAACACCTCCAGGGATGGGGCATCCACAGCCTCTCTGGGCAGCTGTTCCAGCACCTCACCACTCTCATAGTAAAGAACTTCCCCCTGACATCCAACCTAAATCTTCCCTCCCTCAACTTCAAACCATTTCCCCTTGTCAAAGGATCACTGAGTCCCCACACAGCACTGCCCAAACCCAATGTCTGAGAGAGGTGTCCCAAAGCTCCCTGGACTCCCATCAGCTCAGGGCCGTGCCCACTGCCCTGGGCAGGCTGTTCCATGCCCGCCACCCTCTGGAGCACGGCCTTTTCCTCACACCCTGGCCCTCCCCTGACACAGCTCCATGTTGTTCCCTTGGGCCCTGTCACTGTCACCAAAGAGCACAGATCAGCTCTGCCCTTCCACTGCGCTGTAAGGAGCTGCAGCCACCATGACGCCTCCCCTCAGCCTCCTCTGCTGTGGACCAAACAAACCAAGGGCCCTCCGCTGGGATGAGACAGAATTAATTAGCTTTAGCGAGTTGGAGACATACAGCACAAGTGCAAGCTGTCACTGAAGAGCACTTTGGGATGGGAAGTGAAGAAAATGTGATCTCCTTGAGAAGAGAAGGTGAATTTAGAGACGCCGACTGCCATTACATGCAAAAAGTTGGCCAGGTTTCTGCACTGACAGCTTTCCTTGCTATAACCACAGGTGGGCAGAGTCTCACTTTGGTTCCTAAAGGGCTATTTAGCTGCATTTCTGGGAAGTTATTAGCTCTGAGTTTATGTTGTAGTCTTGCAATCGCATGAATGCTATCTGCTTTGAATACAGCATAGGTTCCTCTCTATACATTCCTATATATATACAATCTGTTGGCTGTTGGACACGGAATCATAGAATCATTAAGGTTGGAAAGACCAGTAAGATTCCCAAGCCCAGCCCACCCCACCATGCCCCATGTCCCCAAATGCCATATCCCAACAGTTCTTGAACAGCTCCAGAGATGGTGACTCTTCCACTCCCCTGGGCAGCCTGTGCCACTGCATTACCACTGTTTTGGAGGAGAAATTATTCCTAATATCCAACCTGAACCTCTCCTGGCACAACTTAAAGCCGTGAGCTCTTGTCCTATCAAAACAATTTCAGCTGAAGCCTCCAGAAGTTATTATAATGCAAATAAAGAAGGAAGGCTAAGGCTTCAGGTAATGAGTAGCAGGATGTAGAATAATTAAGAAAGCAGTAAAGAGGGAAGCAGCAATCATGTCATTGAGTGGACTGTAGAAAGCAACTGCAGCATTAAGTCATTGGGAGTGCTTCAGCTGTGCACAGACAGCTCTGGAGTCACGTCAATTCCTTTAACTCAGGTGATTTAGCAGAATAACTAGATCCTGGCTAAATTAAGAGTATAAGTGGATGTGTAAGCCACAATCATGTTGACATTGGAGTTGGGGATATGGTAGCTGTGTTGGGGGCCTTTGTTTGAAGATTTCCAGCTCTGTAGGGAAATTGCAGTTTCTTTGCAGTTATTCACTGGACCACAGCTATTCACTGACACAGGCTGCCCAGAGGGCTGTGGATGCCCCATCCTTGAAGTTGCTCAAGGCCAGGTTGGATGGGACCCTGGGCAGCCTGGGCTGGTTGTCAGCAACCCTGTCCACAGCAGGGGATTGGAACTAGATCATCTTTAAAGTCTCCTCCAACCTAGGCCACTCTGATTCTATGATTTAGAGAGCCTTAAAAATAAAAAAGTCATAGGGAAATGACAAGAGGGA